ATCTTTATGATTAGTGACTAATTTCTAAGCTGAAGGAAGCTACTTTAACATTCAATTTTTTTATTGTGTTCCTGAATTTTTCACAGCTAGATGAAATAAAAAATAAAATATATGAATTACATATATTTTTTTGAAATAAATCTGTGACGTTATTTTGCGCCTTGGTTTTTTTTTATAAAACAACGATTTTATTATGGAATTAATTGTCTTGAAAACTCGAGATCATTTTCAAGTAATGTATTAATAATAAATCTTAAGTTTTTTTGTGAAATCTAGGATAAGAGAGTAAAAAACATCTGTCGATCATTCCTATAACAGTGCCCCTCTTTTGGGACAGTGGATGTGCTGACAAAAAGTTGAGAAACCTGCCCGAAAACATCGACTTATGAAACAAATCGAATTCCAGCTCACTATTATTATTTATTATAGTGATGTCTAAAAAAAATTGATTGAATGCCCTCCAGACTCAATCGTAAATTGAATTCTCGGGTGAAAGGACTCAAAAATTTGTTTCACAGTATCAATCATATCCATTGGAACAGTCATAACAATGTCTTCTAAAATACAGAGGCAAGGATATGGGTATTTTTCATGTCGTTTCGATCTTTAAATCCTGAAGTACTAAGTCCGCCACAATGGGAGAAAGAGGGAAATCTATTGGAGTACTGAATTTTTGTTGATAAAAACAATTGTCAAATGTAAAATAAGTGGTATTTAAAACTAATTGTACAGTCTTAATAAATTCAGTCTTAGAAATCATGCAATTTTCAAAAAATGGAGCCATCTTTTTGAAATAATCTCAATGGCCAAATCTGTAAATACATTAATAAATAAAGACTTTACATCTAATGAAATTCAAACAAAATTAAGTTCTATATATGCGTTCTGTAATTTTGTAACTAACTGGAAATTATTCTTATATAAATTAAATTATATACGTTACTAAAAGATTTGGAGACATTATTAGCTATAATATTATGCAAGAAATTCGCTAATGTGTAACGGACTATCGATCGAAAAAATAATTAGTCTAAACGGATAATTAGGTTTAAGCACTTTTGATAACCCATACGCTCTTGATAAATTGCCATTGCTGCAGGGAAATTCTCTTATATATCAAATCATCAAAAATTTTCTATTTCAGGAGCAATTCTCTTAGACTTTTTACCAGTAGAGCGTAGATAATTTACTATTATGATATTCACTGACAAAGACATTAATATTATGTTAAATAAACACAAAAATTTGAGTAGACCGTTTGGGACATGTGAAATGTGTTACATTCAACACAAATTTTCCAACAGTGTATAAATAACAAGTTCTGTATATATTTTAAACACACTGTAAATAAGATAAGCAAAATAAATTAATTATTAATGCAAGCTCTTCATTAACATAATGAATTGTATTAGCCCTTAACTGACATCATAAAGAAATAATTAATCTTGCATCTTGGAAACGTTTTTATTATACTTTTCGATGTTTAGACTCTTATTTATTTATTTTTCATTGATCCTTATTTAAAACATATTAGTAGACATTTTGACAGACGTTGAAAAATTTAATACGTCCAGTGAACCTATGACGATAGTTAAGAGTTAATGTAACAATTATATAAAACAGATTAACATATTAAAGGAATTAAAATAAAAAATAGATCCAATCTGTATTCAATAAGAACATTTTACTGCCTATCACGTCTGCGAAAAGATAATTTTTGAAGTTGATTCATTCAGACAACTACACAGGAACATTCTTTATTAATGTCCCCGATCGCTCTACCAAATGGTGTTAGAGAATTAATGGCGCTATGATTCGGACGTAAAGTCGAGTAATGGTATTACCGAGTTTTGGCAACATTACTATGATTCGACAATATTCCCACAAAAAAAAACGCGCAGAATTTCTCGAATAGCAAAACGGCTATACACACGCGCACGCACACACACACACACACACACAAAATAAAATATCATGTAAAGCGCATAATTTATTGCGAATCGGAAGTCAATAAAAAGAAACAGAATTTTCATTAAACTTGAACAAATTCCTAGGAAAAGGGTAGAATTTTGCGAGCACATAAAACAAATCGTTGCAGTTGCATATTTCGCCTTTATTTCCATTGATACCGGGGCGAATAAATTTTTTTCGCTTACGCACTATTAAAAACAAATATGTCACAAAGACGCATGCCAGGCGTCCATTTTATTACTACAGTTAAAAGACATTCCCAATTCGGGAACAAAGCCAAGGTCTAGTTGTAAGAAAGCCAAAATAGAGAGGGATTGTGCAATGTGGATCGAACATTATAGTTCCTGCCATTCGAAGTGATCTCTCTTTCTCGTTGTATTGCATTTATTCATATCATAGATATAACAAATATATTCAATATAATATAAAAAAATGGAAATAAGGATAAAAATAAGAATTCAAATAAAAATACAGGAGCTATGTGCTTATTATAATATTAATAAAAGTAAGAAACGAAATAAAGTAATCAATATAGATAATCAACAATAATATAAATAAAATTATAAAAATAATTAATTTTGTAATTAGTTATTAATTTATTTATGAAATATCTTATCTATTGTAATTATAATTATTCGGATATCTTATATAATATTTTTTATTTACGCTAAACCGAGGCTGACATTAATGTGCTTTAAATAAAAAAAAAGAGAAACCTTTATTTATTATTAAAATAGTGTTGGAGAAAGTACATCAAACATTCAATACCTAAATGACGACTACGAAATTTCACAGAGCTTCGGTCCAATTAAAGAATTCAATGAGACCTCTTGGTTAAAGCTAAAAATTATGTAAAGAAATTTTACGTTAAATTTTAGAAGAGCAGTCCAATACATTTTTTACATTGCCATTGGATAAGAATAGATAGTTAGAATAAATACTACATTGATAATGGAACTTTAGAAATAAATACTTAAGACAGCTAAATGATCAAACTTTGAATACGAGATTCGATCTTGCAACCAATAGAGAAACAGAAGCCTCGTTTACAAAGGAGGAAAAGACATTAAATATTCGACCAAGTCTTAAACTCAAAAGCCGTCGTCTTTGTGCGATTACGAAATTAAAAATTCTTCCGTTTCCAGTCACGGTACGAGAGAGCTACCGTAATAAAGCTGTTACAACTTTTATAATAGTAGTACCGGCTGACTCGTGAAAGGCGATTTAATCAGAACACCGACTTTCCCGGAGACCATTAAAATGTCTTACGAATTTTTCTATCGCCTAAGAGACGAACTTGCTTTTTTCTCTCGTAATATTATTGTTTTTAAAAGCTCTGATCCTTTTTATCAACATGTTTATGGAATTTTGTTAAAATTAATTAAAATTATAATTTAAGATTTTTTGCTCAATATTATATTACACGATGCAAATATTACGGAAAAGATGTATATCTTTATTTATCATACACTTTTAGTTTTATTAGATTCATAATGAAATGTCAAAGAAATTTTATAATACAAATTTTTATGTTATATTAATATGTTATGCTAATTAAATTCTTCATTACATTCCTTTATTATATTTATTATATTTATTGTAGCACATTGAAATTCTTATTACATAAATATGCGATAAAGTACCAATATAATTAATGAATTTAAAGAAATAATCGCGACGAGGGTCACAATAGAATGTAAGAATCGGGTATTACCAATGTTGGCTGAGTTCACAGAAAACTCGTGACCGATTAAGAAACGGAACGAAAATACTCTGATAGAAGATTGGAAAAGTTTCTGATGAAAAATTTTCTGTGGATAAGGTCGAAGTTGAAATGGAATTGGATACTTCCCTTCCTTTCGGATAATCGTTGTATTGATATTTTGTGGGAAAGTCCAGTATTCGCGATAGTGCATATGCTTTTGATTGCAACTATTCATATTGTTTTAACTCTTGCTGTATTGAATTTCACTTGCTCGTTATACCATTAATTAGAGAATTTAATATCATACCTGAACGAATCTTACCATTGAAAATCGATATAGCTAAATTACTCTTGTTAAAATCTAATTAAACGCATCCTTAGTAGGAATTTAATTATTTTCGAATGTCGCGAAGAACCTTCGTAATTGCAGAAAGACAGATTACAATTTGTTCTTATTGAAATTTTATTACTACGTAAGCGACAAAATTCAATAGAATAAAAGAAAATAATGTTTTATACTCAATAAATAATATTTTACTTAATTATTAAATAAAAAGTTTTTTTTTCGTCTGTTGAATTTTGTCAATTACGTAATATTAAATTTCAATGAACAATTTTTTAATTTAATAAAACATTATGCATCGATTGAACGGAGTTTCTTGTTATTTAATTAATAATAAGAATTGTCATTACATTTCACTGTAGAAATTGTTAACCCTTTCATGCCTGACTTTTTCCTAGAAATAAAAATTAGCATATAATTGACGTCTTACTAAAAGTTTTTAGAGTCGCTGATTATGAATTTATAATTAAAATTTTAAAATTTAAAATAGCGGATCCAATATGACAGCAGACCAAAATGTCTGTCCGCTAATCCAACAAAATTTAGAATTTTGATTCGCCATATTCGATCCGCCGTTTTTTGTTTTGAAATTTTTACTGCAGATTCGTCACCAGCAATCTTAAAACCTATATGTATAAATCAACTACATGTGAATACATCAAAATTCTCATTATCGTACAGAGATAATGCAATCGCATCGATTCTAAGCGCATTCGCGAAAGGTCTTGCGGCAAGCTTGACTTTTTATAAACAGTCGACGGATTAAAGGTGGCCACGATTAACTCATATATTTCTCGTCGCGATATTGGATATTGGACGGTCGAAAATAATTTTCGACCGTCGTTGGATACCATTAATTCTCCAAAGTCACGTACGACTCTCCTCGTGCAATACCCGCACGAGTTTCTCTTTCCCGTACCAACAGTATCGCACTTTTTGCCGATGGAACCTTTATACATGTTCCGCTTAGAGGAGCGAAGAGGAGAACGACCGTAATACTGAATTTAGTACTTATATAAAGAGCGACGGAGGATCGCTTATGGCAGCTTCATGCAAATGCGCGCGAAACCCTCTCCGATCTTCCTTCTTATTCACTGTCTCTCTATATGCGGTACGCAAAGAGGAATTCCTGCAAGAGAATCCTGAAGGCGAATATAGTAAATGTAATGTCCCCTCTCCTCCCATTGTATAATACGTAAAGTAAAAAAAATTATTTAAAAATATTTAATCAAATTAAGGATATGTCAGGATAATATTTTAAAGTTAACAATTTTATTAGTAATTATATATAAATACTTTATTATAAAATCTAAAATAAAAGTCCCTAACATAGCGAGGATATAAAAAATATATTATAACATTCATAAAAAACGAAAACTTGTTAGTATCAGTAAATTATGAGATATAAATTTTTTTATTATAATAATATATATTTTTTTATCATAATATTTCATAATTTTTCATGGGTCGATAGTTTTATAATAATTTATTAATTTTTTAAATCCCTAGGGTACGCTTTGTACATCACGTAAGAAATCCGGCACTGGGGATTCCTGGCGAACAAGAATCACCGAGCAGATATAACTGAATGTAAAAAGTAGAGGACCAGAGGTATTAATGTCATTAGTCTCGAAGAAAATCGGTGGCTCGCCGTCGTCTAAGTTTTATCTTTATTCCCGCGGAATGAATTAAGTGAGAAAATATAGCCGCTCGCTCTACCGGCAGGCGGCCGATATAAATCGCGATAATATGGAAAGCAGCTTCTTTGTCGGATTAATGTATACTCTCGACTAAGACGTCGGCTTCGGTCGAACGGGGCCGTACGTGCGCGGAATTTCATCGTCGAAGCGGAGATTATCGTCGTGAGTGGGCTCTCGATCGTGAAATTCGAACAGTCATTTACTTCGATATTAGATATTCTCTAGCGTATCCAAATTAACCTTGTACGGAATGTGCACAAGTGAATTTATAGCAAAATCAAAGTGCAAGGAATAAGTTAATAATGTTACGTACACGTGAAATTCTACGAATAAAATTTTTTGCAATGATATACGCGGAGAGAAAAAATACAATTACTATAATTTAACTGTAATTTATAGTCATTTTCGATACCAGCTATACATTTCTTGGAGTATACAACTATAAGTATTATTATTACACTAAAAAAATTATTAAATTCTTATTAGAAAATTTACTAAATATATTTTTTTCAACAGTACAATAAATAAATATTTACTCAATAAAAGATGATAGTTAAATCAAATTATTGGTTCTTGTACCAAATAAATGTGTATCCTTTTATATATTTAAATACTTAGTCAGTACTATTCAAACAAATATTTATTAAAATTTAGTACTAATATTATATTAGCAGCAATAATTATAAAACTGAAGCTCCATAACCATAATTATTTTACAATGTAATTATAGTCATCTCTTTTCAATTTCATAATTTTACGAGACCGAATCATTCTGAAATATTAACTTATATATATATATGTAATCATAACTTTTCTAACACAATGAAATATCAATTTTCAAAATTAATAAATTTTGTTGTCTATAAAGAAGCTATGAATAAATTTGACAAGTTTAGAAGAAATTTTGAAACAATATGACTTTTGACCCGCGGTGCTCTTTATAGAGATAAAATGGGTGACACTAAGATAAGATAAAAATTATTTTGATCCATTCGGCATCATATTAAATGCCACGCCATCTTCGCATTCATTGAGTCTCAAGTTCTCTCTCGGTGTAGAATTTAATAATAAACATTCGGCGAATCCGTCTGCGAAACAAACTGGCTAGAAATAAATTCTTTCCCTGCCCCTGCGTTCCCCAACGTCGCTAATACCTGCTGCAAAAGTTTGCGGGGTTTATGAAAAGCTCGAGAGTGTCGACTGATAATAACAATGATAATCGTAATAAGCAAGCAGCGGAAAACGATTTACCTCAGCCAGGGCGACGACGGAAACTCGTCAGGAAAACTTCGTCTAGACTCTACTTTATAAAAACGACACGAAAGAATGGAAAGAACGTGATAGAGAGATAGATACATAGAGAGAGTGAATGAGGCAAAGAAAAAAAAATGAGACGGAAATACGATCTTAAAATATGAGTATCTCTTTGAAATATTACAACGACCAATATCCCGTCGGCAGACAAAGACCCAATTTGCAATTTGTATCGATATGTCATTTATGTAAGCCATCTTTCTTCACAATCTTATCTCTTATATTACATACGCTCTTCTTCCTCGACAAATATTGTGAGCCATTATATTGTTTGTGCTGCAAATAACACACACAACGTAAAAGCTTGAAAATACGATACAAAAATAAGGGAGGAACAACGTTACAAACGCTATAAAAAACAATCCATACGCAGTGGTAGACATATGGCGTTTATCAAAACAATTTTACAGGTTTTAAACATTCCAAAAAAATAAAAAGATCAATATATTGTGCTTTATATTGTAATCGTTTTCATAATTTCATGTGTAAAAATATTTTTCAGTCGTTTTTGGAAATATCATGTATGTTGCAAAATGAAATAGATATTGAAGGAAAGCGTAAAGAATACACAGGTTGAAGGTAGAAGGTAAAGGTATATCCTATAATTAACACTGTTGAAAAGTCTTTCGTGCCAACTAGAATTATACAATGCAGTCGATTAATCCGTGGTAACGAAGCTTTCTAACAAAGTGCACTTAGGTCGCTGCGCCTTTGCTAAATGACCACTACTCCCTCCTACTTCTCAGTTATAGTATTACAAATTTCCCACCGTTAATCTTAACCTGGCAAACAAAACGATCGCGTGGAACATTGTGTCATCTCGCTTGCGTGTCACATTAATTTGAGCAAGGGTACTTTAATTGCCAGTGTGAACAAAAGAGTAATTATTAATGTAATATTTTTTCATTATGGTAGAATGAAAGAAAAAAATCTATTCTCGCGCCTCGCCAGAAAATATCCATTTTATGCGAATTAATGAACAATTATTTTCAATGATAAATAAATTAGGTAGTAGATAAATTGTGATAAAAAGATAAATGATGGTAATAATAATAATAATATAACACTAACAATAATAATAATATTATAATAACCTATCTATTATTGCAGTAATACTAAATTCGCAACGTTACGTAGAAGGCATGCATATGTTTCACCTCGAGCTACGTTACGCTATTCCCGAAACCTCATAGAAATCTACGCAATCGAAATCAATCGAAACGATCGCTTACAGCCTTGGTCCGTAAGCTTAGAATTCTCTTACGAGATTACGCCTTCGCAAGCTTCTCTGTGCGGAGAGTAAACGCGGAGTTTGCTGGCCGGAAAATTACGCAAGTTGACCGTGCAGAATCTCGACCGTAATCTTCGGCGCGTACGTGCACATACACGTACAGTGGCTGTGAATCGTGCTGGACGATCGGGCGATACGGATTCGGGTTATGCAAATGCAGGAACCAGCGAAACGAGATAGAGAGATAGATAGAGAGAGAGAGAGAGGGAGGGGGGAGGAGATGAAAATCAGCCGATACGTTACAGAGACGACGTTACCGTTACCGTTACCATTCTCGCTTACCGTAGCGGAACCGGGTAATCGAAAGCTCCTGGACGAAAATCAGGAACAAGGTCGTGCGAATAGCAACCGGCACGCGCGCGCAATGTAATTAGCCCGTGCGACAAGGCGATTTAGCGAGAAATTATTCGCGATACGGTCAGTGTAACATTTATGGGCTAACTAAGATAGTCGTTGGGTACAACTCGTACAATTTAATCATGAATTAAACGGTTCGAACACAAAGATCGATTAATTTTTCTTGCGAAATATATATCGCATTGGAAAATGATTTTTCTTCCAACTGGAAACGGTTTTTCTCCTAATTATTTATTTTTTTATATTTTTATATTGTATACTTATATTGTTATTTACGTTCCTCTATCATTAGTGCTAAAAATATGTAATAAAGTATTATTATGGCGATAGTAGATTAATTACAGTGATATTATGGTTACAACTAAAATTTATAGAGTATAGGTTATGACCCTCGCTCGTGATAAATGTATACGAGTTAAAAGCATGTGCATTAAACCAGAATGATTATGTACTGTCGAGATATGATTAGATTTGTAATATTTATAGAGTAAAAATAGCCATGGAAAAACAACTCGAGCCAACTATTTAGCCAAATGTAAAATTAAAATGATAGCATCAGAAATGCTGCATTTGAGAATTATAATTAAAACAATGATAATTTATAATTTAAACATTGATATATTTATACTTTAAACACTAATATTATTTCTATATAAAATGTACATTAACGTTTTTCATTAACCTCACTATATCAAATTAATTTTCTGTCCACTGATAACTCTGGCAGGAAATACAATTTCCTGTGTTCTTATTCTACTTTTAATACAATTGACTTTAATACAATTGAAGAGAGACAGAACTAAAAGTAATACGCAAATAAAAAATCCATATAATTACTCTATGACCTATAACTAACAAACAATTGAGAATTAGGACTATGAGTCTACTTGAAATTTGCAAAGTCATTGGCTACGATTGTCGCCGGTTTATATATATATATATATATATATATAAATAGTTTCGTTGCTATATATAAGCGACTTAAAAACGCGAATTCCGACTAAAGCAGAATAGCGACTTGTTGTCGGAGCGTCAGAGGCGCGTTACGATCTGGATTCGATCCAAGTATCAGCGCGTAACGCGCATATAAGAAAATCAAACGATGACCAATATGGATTTCGATGTATACATTAGCATTTTCTCACGCAGCTTCATTCGGATGAAAAAGCGAAAAAGGTTTGATAATTTGTGCGCGCCAAATACGCGCGCAACGAATCGGTCGTTGTACTTCCTGTTTTTATTTCGAAAGGAAAAATATTGGTTAATTTATACGTCGCTATTATTGGCTTCGTAGCTTCCATATTCATTTTCAACTTCTACCAGCAACGAC